CGAATGAAGCGGGCAACTAGAGGGTGCTTTCTTACAGAGACCCCAGAGCATGGGAAGCTGAAATGGTGCACACATAGTCTCTTAGAGTACCAGAACATGTTCCTGAGGACAGTTTTTCTCGCAGGAACTTCAGCACTGAAACAACTTGGCAGTGAACTGGGTCTGTGTGGTGTGTCATGCACCGGCTTTTTCAAAATGTGCTATCTGAGGGCATAGCTTATTCTAGTGTAGGGAGGCCTAGCACTTAAAATAATCTGTACTACATTGGCTGGAAGTCCAGCATCTATTAGTTGGTCCCTTTCAGAGGCCAGACATGTAGGTTTCAAAGCTCGGGCCAGGGATGAAACACTGTCCCCTGAGCCAGGAGATCTCTCCTGATCAGGATCGCACACGGTGAGCCATCAAGGAAGGATATTAGATCTGAGAACCACACTCTGGTCGGCCAACGAGACGCTATCAGTAAGAGGCGAGAACCTTGTTGACGCACCTTGGCCAAGACTCCTGGGAGCAGAGTAGGGATGTAACGATTAACTGCGAGCCGGTTGAAAATCGATTCAAATATGTGATGATTCAAATCGGTTGAGATGCTAAACAAATCGCGATTCATTTAGGTGTAGGAGTTTATATGAATGTATGTCTGAGGGGAACTTATTGAGTGAATCGTTACATCCCTAGAGCAGAGTAATCGGGGTAAATGTGTAAAGACTCAGTCTGGGCCATGTACAGGCCCTTGCGTCCAGACCCTTGCGTCCAGACCCAGGGGAGCTGGACGAGTCAGGGAGAATTAGAGGGGGCATTGGGCTGTCCACCTCTGCTTTGTAAAATCTTTCCCAAATTTGACTGACTACTTTGGGGTGAAGTTTCCATTCTCCATGTGTCACAACTTGTCAGGACAGCAAGTCTGCTCCCACATTAATATGCCCCAGAGTGTAAATTGCCCTGAGAGACAGGAACTTGTCCTGTGCCCAAAGCAGAATCTGCTGCGTTAGCCTATTCAGGTGGCGTGAACGCAGTCCGCCTTGGTGATTTATGTAACTACCGCAGTGTTGTCCACCTGCACTAGGACAATCTTAACTTTTGAAGGAAATATTTTAGGGCCCGAAATACATGAAAACAAACAAGAAGGTATCTAGCCACACACTGAATTCAATATAGGCTGAAAAAGTCTAGCAAAGCATTTTTTATTTTATAAATTGCATCATGCAAAAAGTGCAGAGTGCATGTGAATTAAAAACAAGTGGACACGAGCAAGCAGATGTTTCAGCACAGTGCTATCTTCAGTGCTCGCATTAAAGATCCACCATTTTTCTAGGTAGATTAGCAATTAAGGGCTATGAGCTGAATTCAATTGTCACAAGTAGAACTCCAAGAGTGTCTGGTCATTGACATATAGGAAACATGTAGGAAACCACTCCTGTTTATCAGAAGAGATTGTTTTGAGTTTGAGCTCCGTCAAGTTAATTCTTTGTCTATTTTTTATCTTAAAATAAATTTTATACACCATCATTTTCGTTTCTATAATGTGTGAATATATCCCCGATCGTATTCTACAACAAAAACAATCAGAGCGCCTTGTTATCACTAGTTTTATTTTGATTTCCCAAGTCCGCTATTAGCATATAGCCCGTTAGCATCGCCAGCGTGGTTGCCGCTAATCTCGCTTACATTGCTAATACTCTATTCACACACATTACCATTGTTTTACTCACTGTTACTTGCTTTAATGGCGGATGTGTGTCTACCTTTGAGTGCAGGTGAGGACACGTTCAAGCTGCATTCGGTGCAGCTCCTACTCACACACATTACCATTGTTTTACTCACTGTTACTTGCTTTAATGGCGGATGTGTGTCTACCTTTGAGTGCAGGTGAGGACACGTTCGAGCTGCATTCGGTGCAGGTCGAGCTGGAGGCCGTGGAGAAGCAGATCCGCGACCTGGTGGAGAGGCAGACCCAGCTGAGAGAGCGGAGAGCCGCGCTGGAAACATCCCGGGCTGACGCTCACAATCCGAGGTAAATATACAGCACGCTGCTAACTCTCCCACCACCTCTACTCCGTGTGTTTTTCTGCACTCCCCTCCGCCGCCTCCAGTCTTTGAGATCTCCACCCGGAACCACTTCGCTCCCCTCCGCGTGACGGAACGCGACGCTGTGATCGTCGGAGACTCCATCGTCCGGCACGTCCATGCTACGTTATCTGAAGGTAAAGTGCACACTCACAGATGATTTGTGTTAAACTGAAAATTCTTTCATCATCTACTCAGCCACAATCCATGTTGCATTAAACCTACTGAAACACAAAAGGAATACACAAAGTGTGTGTGTGTGTGTGTGTGTGTGTGTGTGTGTGTGCGCGTTTTTGTGACAAATGAGGACATAAATTTGTATAATGACAAGGGTATGACATAGGTATTACAAGGAGAAGGTGACTTTTCAGGACATTACCCCATGTCCCCACTTTTCAAAACGCATATAAATCGCACAGAATGGAGTGTATTGAAAATCTGAAATAGCACAAAGTTTCCTGTAAGGGGTAGGTTTAGGGCTAGGGTTGGTGTAGGGCAATAGCACATACAGTCTGTACAGTATAAAAACCATTACGCCTATGGGATGTCCCCACTTTTCACAAAAACAAACCTGTGTGTGTGTGTGTGTGCGTGTGTGTGTGTGTGTTGATTTTGCACTCTAGATGTTTTTGAGTTTCACCCCTTCATTGCTGTGCAATTTTTTCTGCATCGTGGGGGATTTGTAGATTGTACTCACAAAAATGTTCCGTGTTTTCAATTTTTTTTGCCATTTCCCATTCATTTCCTATGGTTGGTCATTTTTGACCGAAGACCATGAGTGTGACTATTTTTTTTTTACGACCACTTAGCTTTTTCGAATCATGCCCTCATTTTTTTTGTGTGTTCACATATCAAGTGCCATAAAAGTCACCAAGTTTCGTACCATTCTGGTGAAGCTACGATTTTTAAATATTCAAAATGTAAAATTCTTTAGTCAAAAGTGACCGAAGACCGCACAATGGCTAATAATAGTATACAAACTTTCACACATACTCAAAGGACAATGTATTAAGTATGAAATTGTGTGAATTAATTAAATGGGTTGTTGTTTTTTTGGTTCATGTCCACTGTCCGCAACACATTCTGGTTTTTTAGACAATGCACATGGTCATATAAGCTTAAATAACTGTGTGTGTGTGTGTGTGCGCGTTTTTGTGACAAATGAGGACATAAATTTGTATAATGACAAGGGTATGACATAGGTATTACAAGGAGAAGGTGACTTTTCAGGACATTACCCCATGTCCCCACTTTTCAAAACGCATATAAATCGCACAGAATGGAGTGTATTGAAAATCTGAAATAGCACAAAGTTTCCTGTGAGGGGTAGGTTTAGGGGTAGGGTTGGTGTAGGGCAATAGCACATACAGTTTGTACAGTATAAAAACCATTACGCCTATAGGATGTCCCCACTTTTCACAAAAACAAACCTGTGTGTGTGTGTGTGTGTGTGTAAGGATGTATTAAATGCAAAATGGTGTGTAAGTGGAAAATGATCTGAACTTGAAACTCAAGTCACAAACAGGATCCTGCAAGTCACCCACACGCTGCAGAAAAAACTTCTCATCAGTTCATCAATGCGCTCTCCAATCTGTTGATCAGAACCAAATGACAACATCAAACCCACACAGCAGCTTTGAGCATCATGTCAAGCTCCCTAAACCTATCTAAGACATCAGCTGAGAACTGCAGTTTTTGCAACAAACAATGCAAACTTTATTTAAATAACAATTATTTTGTATTTTATTACCATGAACTGTTACAATAATGGCTTTAGCCAGATTACAGGCATGTATAAATATGTACATACACAGTTTATAAAGAACATGCAGAAAGGCATGCAGACAGTAATGCATTTTATAATAGAAAAAAACATACACATTATATTATTTGTATTTTTTAGGTTACTAATGCAGTATGCAACATGGTTAATCTCATTCAGTTTTCAGTTACTTGGCAACAAAATCAAATCAAACATTCAACCAAATTCTTTCAAAAAAAAGTTTAAATTGTTTAAATAATTAAATAATACAAAAATGTGCAAATGTATATATTATATATATTTTGATTATGAACAACATTTAGTATTTTCCCACATTGCTCTCACGTGTAGAGAAAAGTACACGTACAGAATCTACCACCACAAACATGGGTTACACTCATAACACAACAGCACCCATGTCAACCACATGGGATCTATTACAATAGGGGAAATCCATAACATTTACAAAAGTCTTTCTTTCCCTTATTTCACATATTATAAATATATAAATCATAAATATAGGTCATTCTCTCAGTTAAATAAAGCCATGAAGGAAATCTAAAAAGTCTATCCACAAATGTACACTCGGAGTACTCTAGCTCAGTAGTTCTCAACTGGTTGGTTGCACATCAGTTCTGGGTCACAGACAGCAAAAAATAAAACAATTTCATACTGATTATATCCATGTTTGATTTTGGATAAACCATTTTTATATTGTTTTTGGGCACCACCACAAAATTTACATCAAAGAAAAATAATTTGAGAACCACTACTTTAGAGAAAATGCAGCTACATATTCCTTATTTACAGAAAAGCGAGACATACTTAAATACACTTAAACTGCCATTCAGAGGATTGGACACAACTTATAATTCTTGACTGTTATTATCGTTATTTGTATTTTAGAATAATAGTGAAATGATCTAAAGTATGAAATATCACAAATCTTATCAACAATGTTAGAACCGTCATACACACACACGCATATGCCTTACAGGTTCATACAAATACTGTATAAACATTTTTTTATGGTCATATGAAACATATATTAAGTCATGTGTACCCAGGCTGTGACCAATAGTATACATCATTTAAAACTAAATATTTTCAATTTGTTGAATTTTAAAAAATGTGATTAATCTAGACAAGTCACAAATGGAAAAGTTACCCATTAATGCTAAATTTCAGTGAGTGAGCGATTTATACTGATTCTCCTTCTGTTTAAAGCATACATGTTTTTAAACTTGCCCTGAATTGCACACAGTATTGTTTTCCTGTATGCACTGGATAAGAAGTAATAGATAATTGGGTCTAGGCAGCTATTTAGAGCGGACAATAGCAAAGTACTCTCATTTAAGATGTGCAACAATTGTTGGCTATGAAGATCTCCGATCACATTCAGCTGAGCCAGAACGTATGGTATTCGTACTGCATGGTAGGGCAAGAAACACAATGTAAAAATGGCTGGTACTAAGAAAGTCTTTATGATGACCCTCTTTTTGCGACTCTGTGCCTTAGGGTCACCATTACCCATGGACATAGTCCGGAGTTTCTTAGTGATCTTCACATAAAAACAAAGAAAGGCTACATAAAAAACAAGGAAGAGCACCACTGTTGTCAGGTTTATGATCCCACCGACAAGTCCCTTGCTGTGGAAGTGGAAGCAGACCTTGTCACACGCATGTTTTTGACTGTTGCTTGAAAAAAAGGGAATCATTCCAGAAATGAGGATCACCCAGACGATGTAGCTTGCCGTGTGGCTCCACTTTGTCTTTTGAATTCGAAAGACCCAAACAGGCTTGATGATTTTCAAATAACGATCTAGACTGATGAGGCTGAGGAACAGGATGCTGGAATACATGTTGATGTAGAAAAAGATGCCCACCACCTTGCACAAGTAGAAGGGACCTTCTTTGTTGTGGTAGTAAACTCGCAGTGGCAAACACATGACCAGGAGGGTGTCCGCCAGGGCAAGGTGCCGCATGTACACGGCCATGGAAGTGTCTGTATGCCGCCGAAGGAAAAATATGTAGAGGGTGACGGTGTTACAGAGCAGACCAATGCAACAGATGAGAATGTAGCCAATGGGCAAGAAGGGCCACAATATGCCATCATGAATCTGACAGGACTTATTGGTGGTTAAATTGCCTTCCTGAAACATTGTGACAGCCAAAAAAATTGGTGTACACTTGCTGACTGCTGCTCCTCAAAATCTTGACATACAGTGATTTTCGGTTGTCCTAATGGGGCAGGGGAGGAAAAGGTCAACAAATGGTCTATATGATGACAGGTTCTCACTTGATCTATTCCTACAACTTGTTGAATTGCTTTTGAATAAATGCTAAGAGCCCAAGAAAAGAATAGCACTCTTACCTGTATGGCTGGTTTGCTTGTGCTTGAGCAAGTGACTAGATACATGTCTGTTCAGAAACTCCAGTACCTATGCAGGAAACTCTGCTCGCATGTGACGTTGGACCCTGGTTGCTGTGGTTGACATTACTGCTAACCTCAGTAGAAATGCAGAGCAGTGCTAGATAAGCCAAGCAAAATTCGCTTCCATTCTCAGAGCACAGGAAATATCTGGTTGCCTAAAATGAAAACTGGTGACCATAACCTAGTTTTTACCCCCAACAATACACACTTGAGGCTTGAGGAATATATACTTTAGAGCATAGGTCGTCCACCCCGCTCCGTGGGTCTCCAGGAGTATGGTTGAAGACCTCTGCTTTAGAGCTCTTTGACTTGTAACAACCTAAACAAACTTACAAGTACCAAAACAAAAACATCAATTTCCTCATAAAATTTGCCTTTCAGTGTCTTCATCTTCTGTCATGTCCTCAGTAATAAAATGTCCAATATATTTCAATTTAACACAAACAGTAAGATCCTTATCAGACAATTTAAAGCCAGGAAATTCTGACATTCTCTTTAGGCCTTCAGATCATAACAACACTCTTACTAGCATTTTATATAATACCATGTTCAAAGCCATGCACAGAACTGATGAGTTACATTGACATTTACATTTAGTCATTTAGCAGACACTTTTATCCAAAGCGACTTACAAAGTAGAAGCAATCAGACCAACGAGTGAGCAACAATAAACAAGTGCTGTGACAAGTCTCAGTTAGTCTAGCACAGTGCACATAGCAAGGTGTTTTATATACTATATATATATATATACAGTGTGTGTGTATAATATATATATGTATGTGTATGTATATGTATATGTATATATATATATATATATATGCCATGAGAGTGATCCCTCTTTGGGATGGCACCACGAGGCATCGTTCAGAACGCAAGCTTCTGGAGGGCGCATAGGTCGGAACTAGCGAGTTTAGGTATATTGGTGCAGCACCAGTGGTTGTCTTGTAGGCAAGCATCAGAACCTTGAATTTGATGCGAGCGGCTACTGGTAGCCAGTGTAACCTCCT